TTAAACCAAATGGAATGGTCCAAATAAAATCCATTCCAATTGGTCCATAAGGTCATTATTCCAATAGTACAACACTGTTTAATACATTAATTAGAAAAGAAATTAATCAAGATTAAAATATATAATTAAAATATAACTAATAATTAAGTCAATTAACCAGTTAAAACAATCAAAGAGAAATAAAAAATCTATAAAACTATTAAAAATCTTATTAATTTCAACTTTTTTCTAAAACAATATTTAATAGATATTTTAATAAAATTATTTGTCAAAAATATATATAAAAGAAAAATTTTAATTCAATAGATTAACTAGAATAAAATTCAAATCAAATTAAAAGAAAAAATCCAAAATCCAAAAAAAAACTAATTGAAAAGGATTCTAAAAGTATTATAAAGAAAAAAATATATTAAATATCTTATTCAAGAAATAAAAAATAAAATATTTAAAATCAAACTAATTTATAATAAATTTTCTATTCTAAATAACTTTATAAGATATAACAAGACATGTTATAATAAAAATACAAATATATATTTTGTAAGATAAAAAAAAAAGATTAAACTATCTTATAATATAAATTAAATAGATAAAGTTTTATAAAGTTTTTTGAAAAAGAAAAAATAAACAAGTGAAAAAAATACTAGTCTTCAAAAAGTAAGATATTAAAAAAAGTATATAAACTTTATTATCAAAATAAAAATTATTATTGAAAATATTTATTTTTAAATTGGTAAAAAAATTAGTAAAAAGAATTTATTATTATTTTTATTTAATCTAATTAATATATATTTTATATTAAGATTAAATAAATTTTATATATATTTGTTTAATTACAAGAAAAAAAAAATAAGTAGTATATAGCTTAATTAGAAATATATATATATAAAATAAAAATATAAATATCTTGTAAATTCATAATATAGTAAATAGTATATTTAAGTTATATCTCTAATTTAATATCTATAGGAGGTTATATAAATTTATTTTTTATTTATGGATTTATCAAATTTTTTACAAATATTATATTTAAATATCTGAATTCAAATTAAATTTAATTAAACTACAAAAATGGAATCTCTAGTTTTTTGATAATAACAAGTTAAAAAACAGATTAAAATAAGAAAAATTATATGAAAAAATACTTTTAGTTTAATTCTAATAAAAAATATATATCCTTTTCTGTTATAACAGATTTTATTGTATAATATGTTAATACAAAGTAAAAAATCTTATTAATATAAACATTAATATATAATATAAGTGATTTTTTTAATATTATTAAGCATATAGAAATTATATATTACTTAATATTTATATCTCTAAATTTGATAACTTAAATCAATTAAAATTTTTTGAAGTATTTATTAAAAAATTTTGGAATTATATTTTATTTGATATTTATATCTTTAGATTTGATAATTTACATTAATTAAAAACTAATTTTTAAAGCATTTATTAAAAAAATATTTATAATATATATATTAAAAGTCTTTTGCAGCTATATAAATCAAAAATATAATATAATAAGATGATTTATCAAATATTAACATGTGTTTTCAATAAAAACAAAATCATATTTTAGCTTTAATAAAAAAAAATAATTGGTATGTCTTTGGATTAACTTGTATAAAATAACTATCTTATATATTCTTTAACAAAAATAAATTAATAAGTTAAGTGGATTAAAATTAATAACAGGATTTTCATTTCCTATATATTTCTATTTAATATATAAGTCTTACCTCTAGTATAAAGTTTGCATAAGTTGGATTATGTAGGTGGATTGGTTATGGTTAAACTTATAGTTAGTAGTAATATTAGTATTTATAAGATTATTGAAGTATATGGTTTGAATATATTATATATTTAATAAAAACCAGGTATTGATTGCCCTTTCACCTAAAATAATAATAATAATAAATATAAAAATAATAAATAATAATAAATAATAAATAATAATAAATAATAAATAATAATAAATAAATAAAAATAAAAAGAATAATCAACTTAGAAATTTTATTAATTATTAAAATAAATACAAATATAAAAAAATTTATCAAAATTATTATAAAATAACAATAAAATTAAATTTTAAATACATTTCTTTATTATTAAAAGTTAAATACAATTAGAAATAGCAATTTTGATTTGAACTGTTTGAAAGCATTTGACTTGAAACTTAATAAAAATTTACATTAAATAAAAAGTTTTTTTTATAAATAACCAAAGATATTGATAATTAAAATTCGCTAGATGTTTATAGTTTATAACGCCAAACTTCATTTTTTTCTCGTTATATACAATATATCATAAAATTTTATTAGTTAATATTGTTTCGTGATTCTAAACTCAATTGGTTTACATTATTTTAGCAAAGTTCAGTAATAAATTCGTTGCGTAAATCATGACTAGAGGGTAATCTGTAATACGCTTACTTTTAAATGACAAACGGTTATATCAATACCGTATTTATTAAATGATAAGTCATTGGGTTTCCATCGGTTACCCTATCTATATACGACTCAATGCAAAAGTCAATCAATTTAGTCGTATCATCATTTTTTAGTAGATTCGTCAATAATTTTCTTAATAATTCCTCAAATTTCTTATAAGTTTCAGTTCTTTTCTTTGCCCTGTGAATTGAAAATTTTGTAATTGCGGCGAATTGAACAATTCATAAGTAATATTTCATGAACACATACATTCCCGGTTTCAATCCCTTCAAAAAGTTGATCTGATTTGTAAAATACACACCGAGAAAACATTAATATCGAATTTAGATTGGAATAAAGATAATTTAATTATAAATACATACTGCATGTTTTCCGCCCACATTCACCTGGATGGTTGACACATCATCATCGCTTCTGAACAATAACCAGAAGTCGTAGATGTACTTCACATTATTTAAACACGTCGGACATTTAACGATCTCGGTCTCTGATTTGCATTCAAACAAACTAAGAGATAACGAACAGTGGTTTCATTAATTGATGGCAAAGACAGTGAAGAATTGTATAAAACTTACATAGTGCTACATATACGACAAAATGGTCTTATGAAATTCTTAAAATTTAACGGCAAATAGCTTACGATCTTGCCTCGGGTGCGGTACTTGTTTATTTTCTGGAATTATTAAGAAACCAATCAATTTTTACTCTTAGTAATAAGAAAATGATATCATGTCCCACCTGCACTTTAAGAATATCAGTTATAGAAGTGATAGAAGTAACCTGACAGTTTACCACTTCTTTTTTTTTTTAAAAAAAAAAAAAATAATAATTGTTAGAAGACTTGATCATGTCTGATTATATTTACCAAATCACGTTGAACAATAATTATTATCTCTTTAATATACTTGTCAGGTTGTTATTGATTTGCGGTGCAGGTGCACAAATAGGCTGTTGAGTTTTCGTGAATTGACATTTCCATCTGAATAAAACATCATTAAAAATTGCTTATGCAGAAGTTGTGATAAACATCAATATACAATATATTTCATTTACTTGAGTAATTCCTCCACCTCAGGGCATGAAGAGTTCAACACGGTTATTCTGGATCTTCTTGTGCTTGGGTCCCCATGCATAACCGCTTGAAACGTGTTATAATTATTAACTTTGGCGCGAACATTTTGAAGTAAGACCATCATGCCGACTCGAAGGCTTTGACCTTCAAGACGATTTTCGTCCCATAGAGATACTTGCAATATATGCTTCGACGAAGCATTAAGGTATTTGTTCTCTGTGTAATCAGTTATATATAATTCCGTCGTTGGATTTTTATCTTCGATCTTCAGTATCTGTTTGATAACAATATTTTATAGTCTTACTTTCTTACAGAAGACACATGACGTGACATACCTCGGCGACTAAATCACAGAATACATTTTTCTCGAGCTCACGTATTTTAAGTCGTTGGCGTACTTTATGGTGAAGCCGATTATTATTACCATCACCATCACCGTGAAGTCCGATCTTATTGATCCACCATTTTTGCAACATTATTGCATAATTGTTTATTTCTTCGCTTTTAAGCTTTGTTGCACACGAGAGAATTCTCTCATCAATTTTCTCTTTAAACACAAAGCACGTTGACTCATTCTTGTAGGAAATAAGTTGTAGTGCATCATAGAACTTATCAACCTTTTCGATGAAGGCGAAGGACAAATTAAGAAGTTTGACTTGATTTCTCCAGTTTATTCCTAGTTCTGATTATCTTACCTTCAACTTGACACCCACAAATACACTTCCCGGACATTCTATGTCTGGCAAATCTTCGTTACGAGCTCGAAACAAACTAACAGATATTCCCCTTTCAATGTCGGGCAACGATTGATCGACCACCATAAAAGAACAATGCCAATCAGCTGTTATGTAATTTAAACTTATGTATAAGTAAAGTTAAAAGCACAATATTGTTTAAATATTATTTAATAATACTCTACTTGAACCATTACACTTTCTTCTTTGTTTAAACGATTTTATTACGCCTATCACATTTATGGTGCTCCCGTGAACAGCATTAGCAAGTGGAGTATAACCTTCGATTTGCATCCGCGTGGAACCCTTTACAATTTTTAGGAGGAAGGTATATGAGAGATCGGGTAATATCTTTAACCATTTCAGTCACTCTCATTATTACCAAACTCATTCCTAATAAACGTCTATTTATCTGTTTGTCGCGTTCGTTTCTATTCATGTTTCATGTCAAGATGCGTACATACACATTGCACAATATGATTTATATATACATACTACGCGTCATATCAAAATAGGCAAATATGACTTTGGTCTAATACAACTTTATTGTTAAGTATATTTGATCATGTGATGAACATGATATAATGATATTGTGAGTGCGCTAAATCTCATTCAGTGGATGTGACTGAAAATATTTTAAAAGTTCGATGGAATCGGTTTCCAAACACCTTGTGAAGAATTAAAGAATTGTCAAAGATAAACAAAGAAACGAGAAAAAATAAGGAATTAACACATATTAAAAGGATATAATAAAATTAATTCCTGAACGTCAGATAGTGGGACTCTCACACTTTGACAGACACTTTTCAATCCGTCTTTGATTCTGTCAATGTAATTATTATAATAAGGGTTGCTCACGAATAGTTTTGAATTTTCAAAGGCTATTGTTACCGCGTCCAAAAGATGCTACCATACATAAAACAATGAGAGACATTAACGGCGACGGAAATACACAAAATTTATAGACTTACTTGTAGTGAACGTTTGACAAGATCGGCTTTACAGTCGTCGAAATCGATATCTTCCAATAGAGTAGTGCTCTCCGTATTACTACTCCATAAATCACCTGTAGTATTTACGCTTGAAGAATCATCTCCGGGTGAAAAAACACGAGAGTTGAAGTTTTGATTGGCAGAGATATCGGATTTCGGTGAATTCCATCCCCAAGAGTCACCAGAAGTAATTTCTGCACTATCTGCATCATTATTAAATGAAGTCGTTGTTGGAGAATTATTGTATGCGTTAAAATAAGGTGAAGGTTCGTCAGCAAACAAATCACTAGCCCTGTTTCTTCCACCAGCCGAGATTGGCGACGTTGAATCATTATCATTATTCCAGCTCCAATTATTGAAATTTACAAATCCACTTGATATTCTAGTGTCATGATTCAATAATGGTATATCGAATATCGTTGTTCTACGTCGAGACTTCAAAATACGATCTGGATTTTTTGATATCGATTCATGAGTAAATCTCCAGGTTTTGGCAAGGTGTAAGGCCAATAATGGACAGCCCATCCGATCATAAGCAAAAATGCTACGTAACACGAAAAAGTATTCGGTTTCTGGAGATATCTCAGATGCACCGCGAAGAGTCTGAATTGATTTTTCTTTAAGTTGTTTATAAAGAACAATGAGGGCTGCGTCTGGTGACTCGGTAGGCGTCGGAGAGGGTGATTGTATCATGGAATTATCGCAGAGGGTCTCTAAGGGTACCTGCATGACCAAAATAATGAATAATGTAAGATAATGGCATTACACAATCAATTGGTACACGAATGAAATTGTACAAACCATTATGGCCTTAACCGCACGATCCCTTTGGTTCAAGAACCAGAAGGACAAACTGGCTAACCAACGATCTCCTGTTTTTATAGCTAGAGGAATAATATGTTCCTCAAATATACTCTTCAAAACAAGCCCTTCATCACCTGTGAACAATAGTCACTCACGTCGTAAGTGGACGTAAAAGTAACGTTCGATGTTCTAAAGTAATAACTATTAATTACCTTCGTAGACACGGCATATCGCAATCGCCAATTGAAAGTCGTCCAAATGTTTCAAGCAAACATTCACAGCGTCTCTTAATCTATCTCCCAAAAGGAAGAAGGCAGCCGCATACTCTACAAAATATTCATTATGAGTATCAGATATAATCGATTTCGTAAAATCCGAACGGAGAGTGAACCATACCATATCTTTGTTTTCCCAACAATGCATATGCATTTTTTAAAGCAGCAGTTCTCCATCTTTGTTCGTCAAAATTATTCGCCAAGAACTTTAACATAGCAGCTTGTTCCTTGTGACCATTTGCTGTTCTCCATAGTCCCAACAAGAGTTTACGTTTCCTCAGAGCCATATAAAAAAGCGAGCATTCGATCGGATCCCTATCTTCTTTTGACATATAATGATTACGTGCTAAAATTTCCATTTGTTGTCTCTATTATAGATTAGAAAATGCATTAGAGAAACAAGAAAGATCAAAAATGACAAAAATGATATTGAAGACCTACCACCGTTTCGTTATTTCGAACCCATAAAAAGATCCCATGAACCCTTGCATCTTTCCATAAAAACTTCCCACCCGATGCAGTAATGCTATATTCTATTAGCAAGTCCTAATATTACGCAATTTGCTCATGGTGAGAACCAAGCGGTGCATGATATCAATAAAAATTCGACATTAACAAGTAAACACCTGGGAATCACTATGCAAAGCCCAATTCATGTCACGATAGCTCAATCCAAAAGTCCGCACATTTGTTGATAATGAAACTCGATTCAAATGATGAAATCTTCTCATAAACAAAACATATCTAACACCATTTTCGTCCAAACTTCTTTTTTGACTCTCTACCTATAAATTTTTTAAGAAAAATTAATATAATCATTCCATGATTTAATACAGGGTAATTATATAATAAATAATCGTAAACTCGCCTCGATTATCGTGTCAATCAGAGCGAGTAATTGAGCTTGTTCAATGGGCGATAAATCAGGCAAAGAAATAACCTTTAATTTCTCACGTAGAAAATCAGCTGCCTCTTCTGTGAAATCAAGTTTATTTGCAATTTCTTGAGAACTAACAATCCAAAAATCATTAATAAAGATTATCTCTTTACTTAAACCAAAGAAAGATTAATGAATACCCTTCATCATCACTATCCTCTCCAAATAGAAGGCTATAACGACGAGATCTAGATGCGGTTGACTGTAGAATTTCAATTAAGTCAGAATATTGATAAGCATTCATGTCAAATAAGATATCCGGACCAACCTTATCGTCTTCAAACAGCTTATCGAAAGGAACAGGTGGGATTTTTAAAATGGGTTTATTGGAATTAAAGAGGATATTGAGATATTTGTAAAGATGAGCGAGTATCTGCTTAGCCAATTCCATTTTACCTAAGTTCAACACGAAAATTCCTTAGTTTTATAGAATAAAAGTAATTCAGACCAAAGAGATAAACTTTTGTACCCCACAATATGTGTTGTAATAACAAAGTAGGATGGTGATGAGGTAACGGTCCGTTCAACCAATCAACAACGTGAAATAAAGTGGGAAAAGACTCATTTACACCTGTTATTAAAGAAGCTGAGAATTCATAAATGAGAAATCACAAAATTAATAACAAAATCATTTTATCGAAAAACGTCAATATCATGAAAAGAATAACTTGCAACCCTTGTTTGCGCTTTCATCACTCAACCACTTGTTATAACATCTCAACTGATTTCCGGAAGACACAACAAGAGAACCTCTGCTTCCCCATATCGCTCTAGAGGCGGACAATGGCACATTACTGACATGATAAAAAAAGAAAACTTAGTAGATATTCAAATTAATTTAAATATTACGAACTTCTATTGCTTACTCTGGAATGTGAATTTCTGAAAACAAAATCCACGAATCTCCTAAGTAAGCATGATCTTTACGAAGTCGTGTATAGATTAGAATTTTCCGTGGGGTTGATACAGCCAGCACAATCTCCGCGTTTGAAGTAAACAACCAATCAATGTCAACTATTTTTTCACTAAACACGATACAACAAATCAGGAAAACTTCTTATATATTCATAATGATAAGATGAAAATCAAGATATGAACCTAAACTTTGAAACAAAATCTTTGGTGGGCGAAAGTCTCCTGGTGATGCATTCCCATATCGCGAACTCATCACCAACGGAAGTTTCAAGAACTAGAGTAATTTCATGAGTGAATATGATAATCATCTTTAAATATGTTTAACTCCTACATACCAACGGCGACTTTTCCCTGCGGTCCGCATTTTATCAATTTAGGTGTTCTATCACCAATATGAAACATCACCTCTTTCATCCAGACTTTAGTGGTGACAGAGGATTTCTTACTTATGTTAAATTGCCAATATCTAAGGTATCCATCACCAGAAGAAAATGTTAAAAGAACGGGACGACAATAATCTCGAGATAGATAATTTCTAGCATTGGCACCTGCCCATTGTTCAACTGCGACAGTCATTGTAATGTCACTAGCCATCAGGTGTGATTTTGAAATAAAATTGATTTTTGGAATGCTGGCTGAAAATAATATCGGCACCATCTTGAGTATAAGGTAACATAAGAATATCTCATCAAGAAAAAGAATAGTATCGAAAAACTACCATTATCATCGTATATTATGTCCCACAAAAAAACCATGCTTTTGTGAAAACTAACTCCCGCGACAAATGTTGTCAATGAAGATCCTTTCTTGCATTGAAAAGAAAATAGCAAACCCAATTCGAAAGAGGGATCATAATTTTCGAGCATTGCAGTTTGGTACGAATGACTGTCATCACAAGAAAATAGTGCAATACGAATTCCATCATATGCAACTAGAAACTTCCCTTAAAATATTTATAGAAGAAAGTGGGAAAAACATTGAGCATAAAGAATTATAACGTATTGTTGCATTGAATAATCTTACCATCTGGAAGTACGCACGCATGCTTAATTTGCGAATCCATAAAAACAGTGGATATTTCCACAATTTTCGGGCCAATTTTCTTATCATACTGAAGGCAACCATATAAAATATTATCAACATGTATAATAGAAAAGCTAACAAATGAACACATACACACCTGACATGACTCCGGTATCGATATGTTCCACAAAGTTGTTTCTCCATCTTTTGCCAGCGAAACGAAGCTATCCCCTTCAGGTGCTCTAACCATTGTATTTATGTCACTACGATGACCGGTCCATGAATTTTTCAACTCTAGAGCTGCTGTTGATTGTAAACTATCGAATATCTCAACAAGACGAATTACATATTTATTAATAATGCCTTGAGGACTTTGGGCGACTACAGCCAACTCTACTGATGCTAGATATAGAAATGTAGCAGTGTAATTATTACATTAATATATTATCTAAATGATATTTAAGAACTTTTTTGTTTTAGAAAGAAACAGAAAAGAGTAAACATGAAGTGACGCGATTCTTACATTTCATGAAGTCAGAAGAATTACCATCATGGAAAGTGGCAACGCTTCCGAAAAAATAATCCACCTCAGAAAAAGGAATTGCTTGCGCAGTGCGTAACAATACAAGAACCTTAGGAACCCGGCGTGGTCTACAATAAAGATTCTAATATTTGTAATATAAATAGATTAACAATTTGAACACGTTCTCTAGATGGTCGAAGTATTTTTACTAGAGAAAAAGTATTTCTTACGCGTATTCCCCAAATCACCATTGATCCATCTCGTCGTATCTGATAAAACAAATCAGATGTATCATTTGCGAGATTTTTCAACTTCCTTAATCCTGAACCAAGTATGGCTTGATCAATTTCTCCATCAAATGTTTCGATAGATATTCTTAAAGAAGTTAAAAATTCTTTTGGATGGATCCAATGTATTGGAGTAAAATAATCGGGATCTTCATGACCGGCTCTCTCCTCTTCCGACAATTGGAGTGTTACTAATGACTGTTCAGGATCAACTACTGTGGATATGTAAAGATTATGAGGTTCTTCTGGATTCGTTGGTACCCAAATTCTACATATACCATCTTTACACATTGTCAATAGAATATTGCTGCTATTTGATCTGGATAATCAAAGCCTAACATTAAAAGAAACCACATTAAGGAGATAATAAAAAATATATCATGAAAAGCTAACTTTTTTTGTTCGGGTGGACCTCTACGCCATGCAAAATTGGTTACGGCCCGTGGGTGTGGTAAATAATTAAAATCATATTTTCGTTCTTTCGCTTCATTATTTTGGGTATTCCACCAAATCTTCACTAAGCGGTCACACTGTTAATAATAGAACATATAGCTGTATTAGCTTGATAGTGAAAAGACGTGTAGCACAAATTAAATAGTATGTAATCTACCTCTCCGACAGTGGCGAACATTGTAGAATCTGAAGAGAATTCTGCAATAACCACTTTCGATGCAACTCTAAAAAAAAAAAAGATTTATATACTTAAACTAGATTGCTCAAGAATAATTGAAAAAATGATGCAAACCTTTCCTCCCATACTTTTATCCACTCGATCTCAGCATCACAGTTGGATGACATAACTTTTTCCGGGAAATCTTTGCTGATCAGAATTAGTTCCCATAGCGTCAGTAATGATTCGCCTCCCACCAGAAGTAAGCCTTAGTGATTCAAAACCAAAATTAACTTTAGAATCATACGGAAAAAAAAAGTAAAAGTATTACACTCTTACACTTACCAACGGTCCAGGAGGTACAAAATACTAAATGATCATGCCTCAGTATTTTAATTAACTTCCATTGCACAGTCTGATTAAATTTAACATTCAGAAGGAAAACTTATTGAGAATCAACAGAAAATTTGAGATTTTCGTGTGACAGAAACATTAAAATAAATACCATATCTTTATTGACTTGTTGAGGGCAGAAGACAAGTACATTGACTCCAACTGTAATTGCAATCTATTATTTTTCGGATAATCAACGTTTTGATGAGAAAGAATTCAAAAGATTCCATTACTCGAAAACTAAGCAAAATTCTACATATATAGTATACTACTTTTTTATTCTACATTTTTTTTATAAAGAATCTATTAAACCTATTTCTTCTATTCCAATAACCAAAACTATGAATTTTTAAGAGAACTTTAATAGTAATCGTCGTCTAAATTCCAGATTCTGATTCGAATTCACAAACTGAGTTGATACCAATTTTTCAAAGAAAACAAACCTTGCCGTCATTTTCGGAAATTTCTACTGATTCAATTCTATCTATAATGGTGTCATCGCCAAGAAAATCAGATATTTTAATGGTTTGTATGTGCTCTGAATCTCCTTTACATATAACGAGTTTCTCTCCGGTTCCATAGATCTTTTATGTGGCATTTTAGGAAATAAAATCAGGTTATTTGATAGTATAGATTTCAAAAAAAAAAAACCTTATTACACCTGTGTCTAGAATAGCTTACAAGATAACGAATATTCTCATAACGGGCCGTGTGAAAACTCTGAATTTTTCCATTGGATTTTCCCGGGCAAACTTGCTGAAGTAACATTTTGAAATTTAAAAAGTGTTAATTGCTACTACAAATTGAGTTTTAGTGGCAAATGCATGACGTACAAAATTGTTCATCCGATTTTTCCGTAACTATTATTAAAAAAAAAAAAACTTTTTTCATATATAACATTTTTATAAAAAAAAATTTTTTTATAGCAATTTTTTTTCTTTACTATTCAATATTCAAAAGTTTTAAAGAAATTAAACAAGTATATTAATATATCAGAATAAAATCTTTAATAAAAAAAAAAGCAAGTTTGAAAATCTTGTTTTTTCTTTAAATTATATTAAAAAAACTTGTAACAATTATTTTTTTATAAACTTTTTTTGAAATTTTCTTATTTTACTTTTTATCAATATACAAATTTTATTAAATAAATATAAAGAATTATTTTTTAAGAGAAAAAAAAAAAAACACTCTTCTGATCATATCCATTTTGTTAAAAATTTTTTTTTATAGTAATTTTAAGCAAGAAAAAATGTTTTATACTTCTTATAACAAGTGAGTCTTAACTCAAAAACTTAAGAATCTTCAAGACAACTGGTGTAGTAGGATGAGATCTCTAGTTAAAGTCTATTCAAGTTTAAAAATCTTGTTTATTCTTCAGTTGTATAAGAAAAGATCCATGGTAATTCTCTTTTTTTTTGTTTTTTTGTATATGTTCTTATCCTTATTATATCATAAAAACCATCTATATCAATACCATCTTACTTACTAAACAAAATACTTTCAAAAAAACACACTCAAACAAAGTTGTAGAATTTAATATTTGTTTTTAAGTCAACTTTCATACACAACTCTACAGTAACAATATTTGCTGTGCCATTTCAAAATTTTCAAAAAATTCTACTCAAAAAATTGAAATCAATTTATCTTCTTCAGATAATCATTGCTCTCCAATCATCCAATCAGATTTCATCAAAACAACAAAGCAAAAACTGAACCTGTTTAAACTGGTTTTTCAGTACAACAACAATAACAACAATAACTTCAAACAATATCAACTACACTATAATTTTTTTATTACCAAAGTATATACAAACAATAAAGAAATTTAGTAAACTCCAGTTCCTACAATCAGACAAGAGGTTTTTCTAGATACATAAACTTTATCATTAAAAATCTTATTGTTTATTTGATTTAGTTTCAGTTCTAGTTATTTTATTATTGTATATATTTTTATTTTTTTTATATTCAAAAAATCAAAAAATTTCAAACTTATGGATCTATAATACAGTAGTTAGTACTTTACAGATCAGATCACAAGATACTGGTTCAATCCCAGATGAAGATAATTGAACAGAACCTTATAGTATCTGGCACCATAACCTGTTATGTGTCATTTTTTATGGGAAGCCGTTTCATATACTGATTCAACAGGCATTAAAATTGTGATCTCCAGAAAGGTGTAATGATATGATGATCGTCTGGTTGGCATTATAATGATCATAGTCAAGTTTGGTGATGTTCCCAGTCCTTTACCAATTCTGATTCTCTCCCCTATAGTCTACGAGACTATAAAAAAAATCCAAAAAACCAGTCTGATGCTAATTGGAATAGGAAGTAACATACTAATAGACAATAGCAGCCCCTTAAGGACGAATATGCGATGGCTTACCAATATGTAGGAGTTGCAACCTGCTTGACATTTGTGCCCTTAGATTTGGCAGCTTACATCAACTAAGAACCTGTAAAGTGTCTACTAGGAGACTAAAGGAATTGTGCTCCACTTGATCAATTGGCCTCCAGATTTGACAATCTAAGCCAACTATCCTTTAAATTGTAATGCAGGCAAATTTGCCTGCATATTTAAAATTTTAATAAGTTTTTAAAAAATTTTAATAAAATTTTA